TCATCATACAACAATCAGTTGCACTCCTGTATACCACGAGCTAGAAGAAAAAATTAAGAAAATGATTCTTGGGCCTCCCTGGTGGTGCAAGGGGTTAAGCACAGCACTGTGAAGTTATCTGCAGCCTCTGCAGCACAAGTTCAATCCCCAGCTGGCCAGGGAGCTACCCACATGGCACAGCAGACCTCTCCTGTCTCTCCCTCTGCTCCCCTCAGCAGTGTATTTCAGTCAGTTTGCCTGTTCTGCTCCTCACTGTCTCCGGTGAATCCTCTCACCTCCTTGCACCTCTGGCTTGTATCCCAGTTCTTGTATGCATAAATAAATCTTAAAAAAAAAAAGATCCTTTTCACAATGGCAGCAGAAAGAATTAAATGACTAGGAATAATTTTATAAAGGAGGCCAATTTACATAAGAAGTATCAACTTATGGGCAGTTTAATGAAGTGGAGGCTGAGACAAGTACAAGGTACTAGGCCTGGTTCAAAGCTCAGCTCTGTCATTCACCAACTAACTGTGAGATCGATGACTTATTACTTAACTGCTGAGACTCAGAGCTGAATGGCAAAGTAGGAATCTTACTACCTTTCCCATGGGGTTGTTGGGAGAATTAGATGATGACGATGCAGATGAAAGTCACATAATGTGTGACTAGTACAACAGAAAATAAAAACATAATTTTCCCTCTCTCTCCAACATATCTACTTTTATCTATAACATGAAGAGTTGGCCTAGATCACACCAAAGTCTCCTCTAATTCTATTTATTCTCGCTCTCTACCTAGTCACATTTGCTTTGTTCTCTGATGAAGTCTTGGAATATTAATGGCTCCTCCTGCATTTGCCTGAACCACATTTTATTGATTATATTACTGAAAGACAATGTCACAATTTTAGTGTTGCCAAAAGAAAAGCAAGTTATACATTATTCTGAGAGTTGTTTGTTGTATTCAATACCTAAGTTGATAAGTTTCATTTTTAAAAAGCTTAGAATATTTTAATTTAAAATTGCTCTCATGAGTGACAAATGCTAAAAACAATATAAACTAACAAAGTAACTTAAATACTGATCAATTAGCCCAGAGCCTCTTAAAATACTATCCAAGACAGTTGTCCTAATCAATGATTTATGCAGCACTCTGGTTTTAGAAAATGTAATATTACTTTAAGTCAATTTCTTCCCAGAACCTTCCCTGCCCATTACATCAGCGATATCCTGTAAACCTTTTTGAGGTTATTTGCTTTTCTAAGATCTTATTTTTGAAGCCTTCATCAGAAGGATTTTTGAAACAAGGTTTTGAAGATAGAAATTTTCATCTAACAGTTAATATGGTCACATTAATTGTTGATAAAGAAAGACCAAACTATTGATAATATCTTTGATTTTTTAATTGCAAGGCAATACAAATTATTAAAAAAAATTCAGGCAACACAAAAGCACAGAGAGCATAAAAAGTGAAACTGATCCAAAGCCCACTTGCCAAAGACAATAATTGTATCCTTCTAATGACTCTGCAGGCACTCACATAAACATAATGTTTTAAATATTTCATCACAATGTTCATTTTATTCCGTAACTTGTTTCTTCAGTATATTGTGAAATATAAGCTACAATATATTGGCTCAATATAGTGCAACTATTTTTAGATATAAGTGCAGAGTGAACCACCTCAATCTTGTAAACAGTTGCTTAGTATTTGCCCAGTTGAAGGATTAATGTGTGCTAGTTTATCAGACCAGTGCTTTGTAGATACATGTTTACATCATTGTCGATGTACTGATATTTTAAAAGTTCTTAAGCAAAAAAAGTAAGACTGAATCAGGTCTGGATAGGTGATAGAGGCATTTCTCTCTGTGTTTATGTTTTCATAAGAAGAAATTTAGAAACTTAATGTTCGAGTGCAGATTTACAAAGTGTTATAAAACAAGGGACAATTGTCATTTAGTAAAGTTTAAATATTTTTTACCCAAAGTTTTCCTGTAAATTTTTGAGTCTCAAAAGCCACATCTCCTTTCTTTCTGTTTATCCTCCAAGCTGAAACCCTATTTTCTGTGAGACCATAATTTGTGATCTTTCAGTAGCCACACTTGCCTTTTGAAAATTGGGGCAACACCAGCCTTCTCTTTGATGTGTGTTCCTTTTTCCTTCCGGTGAGAAATTAGGCCCTTTTCATTTCATCAGAGAATATGGTATCTCTCACGCAGGGGTAGGCGGTTAACTGTCCTCCAGTCACACTCACAACACCTGACACAGTTCCCTGTCTGTCCTCAAACACAAGGTCAGGGTTATTTACCACTTTCCCACTTCCTCAATGTCTCTACACGTCAAGGTGACCAGGTGCCTTCTCTTCCCAAGAATGGATAGATACACCGTGGTCATCTTTGGTTGGCTTATTGGACTGTTGATCTTCAGGGTGATATAATTTTATTTTATTTTATTTTTTTTTTATAGAGGCATGCTTTATTTATTTGTTTGCTGGTTTCTTTGTTTGTTTTGTTTATACATGCACTGGGTACAGTCAGAAGCGCGGGAGGGCGAGAGAATTCGCCAGAGCCAGAGCGGGGAGCAGAGCAGGCAGAAGGACCGAAGTACACTGCTGAGGGGAGCAGCGGGCGGCAGGAGAGGTCTGCGCGCCATGTGGGACCCTCCTCTGGTGGCCGGGGAGCAGCCGGGGATCGAACCGGCGCCGCAGAGGCCGCGCGCAGCTTCGCAACCCAGCGCTCAACCGCTGCGCCACCGGGGAGGCCCCAGGGTGATATAATTTTAAATTTGACCATTATCTCTATGGCCTCAAGTTGAATATGTTGCTATTTTTTTAAGCTCATGTCCTTTTTGGCAGCTGCTAAATAATGAAAAGTTCCTATTCTGGGTAAGGCAGAAAGTACCACAAGTATCTGTTAGACGGTAATGACGGTAAAGCTGGGGGATGTGCCAGCCTGGATGATTTTAACATCAGTCATTTTAAGGGGTGTTGATATTTGATATCAAAGGCTCACAGGATACAGGCTTGATTTTAGTCAGGATTTCACATCACTTTTATCTGTTGCTTGGACTAAAACATAATTCATATTTAAGAATCACCAGTGAAGGAAGAACATAGGGTTGGTAAGGCCAAGAAGATTCCTATTCTGTTCCTGAGCTTATTACTAACTTACAACCTCAACACTCAAGCATCTGAGTTTATTTAATGTTCTCAAATGTTACTGGGAATTTGCCAGTTATGCTTCCCATAGAATAAAATCACTTTTATTATTAGGCTATTTTTATTTAATCAGAAATTTCTGAAAAAAGTTCAAATAGGGAAGTTATCTTTATATTCTCTAGCTGAGCTCAAAGATGACATTTCTTAATTGGCCAGAGACTTTAAGAAATTTCAGCTATTTTAAAGTAATACCCACGGCAAAAAAAAAGTGTTTTGTGTACGGTTAGCTTAAATATAGCTGACTTTAAAATTTCACTTTTTTAATCCTCAATGAAAAAATAAAAGTCTGAGTTATTTGGAAACACTAGACATAAGAATCTGATAAGTAAGCAAGTTTGCTAATGTCTCATTTTTGGATGATTGGAGGTAAAATCTGAGTTATGCCTTTATTTCATCAGTCCTCAAAAGTGTATTTTAATCATTTAGTTTAACAAATATATTTTAAGGTACCCCCCCCCCCAAGAAACACACACTATTTAGAATTGGAATACTACATTAGAGAGAGACAAAATCCCAGGAGGCAAGGGTGAAGGAAAGTTAGAAAGATATAAACATTAAGGAAAAAGTAGAGATAAGAGGCAGATAAGGGACACTAGGAAGATGGTATTGGGAAGTGGAGCAGACTGCAGTTTTAAAATGTGGACAGGATAAGTATCATTGAGAAGGTTACATACATTTCAGCATAGGTTTTTGGTAGATGAGGGAATTACCCAGGTGATATCTGGATCAAGTATATACCAAATAGAAGAACCAACCTTTGTAAGCTGTATGGAATTCAGTGTGACTGCTATAGAGTGAGCAAAGAAACAGCTAGAAATCCAGGTCCCAGAATGAATGGGCACCAGCTCTTGCAGTCTTAGGGGTCAGTTTGAGGCCCTGAGATTTTACTTTGAGTACAATGAGGAGCCATTGCAGAACTGTGAGCAGAGCAATCATCATCTGGTACATTTCCAATGGCTCAACTATCACCAGGTAGAGAGCATGGCTTAGGAGGGAAAGGGTGAAAGCTGGCATCCTGAGAGGAGACCACTACAGTGTTCCAGGTGATCATGGCAAATTGGACCAAAGGAAGATCAATGTGGAAAGCAACAAATGTTTGAATTCTGGGCATATTTTAAAGGGTAGGACAAATTTTCTTGAAGGATTGGATGAAGGGTGTTGGGAAAAAAATGAGATTCAAAGATGACTCATAATTTTGAGCCTAAACAACTGGAAAGCTAGAGTTACCATTACTTGAGATGGGAAAGGCTTCAGTGCAGGTTTTTTGGTGAGAGGGAGAAGGAAGACTAGGAGTCTGACTTTCTATGTATATGACTTTAAGATGAGTATCAGGTCTTCAACTATGGGTTGTCTTTTGAACAATTCAATACTCATCATCTTAAAAGAATGTAAATTCCCTGAAGGCAGAATTTTGTCTATTTTGTTCTTTGCTATATCTCCAGAACACTGAATAGCATTTAGTATATGCAGGTTCTCAATTAAAAATTAATTTAACTAGTATTTACTAAGTACTCACTACATGTCTTGCTCTGTTTTTTCTACATGATGAGGATACAGGGGAACAAAAGAGCTAAAATTTCTGCTCTCATGTACCTTACAATCTAATAATGGGAGGCAGACAAAAAATGGAATAAAACAAAATAAGTCTTTTGTCTTAATAAACAGTTGTTGACTGTTACATATACTCCATGTCATAACTCTACAGGGAGGAAACAGATCTCCGTACCAGCCACTCTTACTCTGAAGTCCTTCTACCATATCGTGCTGCATCGCATATGAAATAACACAAATCCAAGCCTTACCTGATAAATATCAAGGCTGTGTTTCTCTTCATATAAGCTTTTAGAGGACAGTTTTCTCATAGCAGAATTCTTTTTGAAGTGCATTTCTAGGAAGGCAGCAAGCAAGTGAGCATCCCAGTTCCTTAATGGATCCAAACCATGCTGCTGAATTCATCTCTCCAATTCAGGGCATTTTCTCACTCCTCATCCCTTTTCACAGTGTCAAGGGTACCTTAATGACTGGCTATAAGAGCCACCACATTATTTCATCTAAAAGGTTTAATTTGCAAGCTTTCTTGGAACTAAAAACGTGTAGTACAATGGGCTTTATGTTCTCATAATTTGAGAAGAATCCCTTAACACCCCATCCCCACCTCCTGCCACCACCACCAAAAGAAATGATAAATTTTCCATTCATAGCAAGAAGGTGATCTTTTGCCCCAAATAATTTCAACAGTCACCCTCTTCATTCAGCCCATCTGAGATTCTCTCAGTCTCTTCTTCCTCTCCGATGGAGCCTATGAGAAATTCTGCAACAGCCACTGCCCTTTCCTAGTGTTCATTTCTTACCCAGTTTCCATGTGTAATTTGATAGCACACCTCATTCCTCATCAGTATCTCCTACAATGTAAATGATATATCTTGCCTTAAAAGTTCATAATCCTTTCTTCTGCTCAGACCTCCATAGATGAGAACTTCTGGACACTCCTCTTGAATGCCATCTCCCTCAACATTATAATTTTAAAATAAAGCATCCAGGATTCCCCCTTGGTTGGGTGTGACAGTTTGTCTTGGTGTTGCTGCTCATGCAGCAGATTCATCAAGAATTCCTATGGCCAGTAGAGTTTGTGGTCCACCAATAAGTCACTTCTTTTTCCAGGCCAAAACAAATATGTTTAGTCCAAGAGATTTTTCTAGGGCTCTATTATGAACAAGTGGCATCAAGGCTCCTTCATGTTGCAATTCTGAGATTTACTGAGATCCTCACTTAATATGGCCCATTACATAAGCTCCATAGAATGATTGGAGTCTTAAATAGTCCCCTAAACACATGTAGGCAGTGCATTGTAGCTTTTGCATAGAGAATCAAGAGGGCATTTTTTATGCTTACAGTACTTGGTATGTTCTTCCTAAAGAATCCAAATTACAGTACAAAGTAAGAATCCTGTAGGATGGAGTGTTTAAACAATCAAATCAGTGACATACAGCGGTGTGTGTCTGCCGTCTATCAGTGGGACTACAAAAGCTTTTCCAACAGAAACTGAAAAATTTCAAAAGGGGGGCCTCCCTGGTGGCCCAATGGGTTAAGATGCAAGCTATGAAGCTGCCCGCAGGCACTGAGTTTGATCCCTGGCCAGGGAGCTACCCACATGGTGCAGCAGACCTCTCCTGACTCCCCCATTCCTCCCCTCAGCAGTGTATTTCACTCAGTCCTCCTGCTCTGTTCCCCACTCTGTCTCTGATGAATCCGCTCACCCCCCACACCTCTGGCCTGTACCCCAGTTCTTGTATGCATAAATAAATAAATCTTTAAAAAAAATTTCAAAAGCACCAGTAACAAGTTATCATGGATATAACGGTGGTGAATAAGCACTGTCAGTAATGAGGTTATGTTTCTGGACTACCCAGGGCTGGCAAAAATATCAGTTCAAAGGAAACATGTATTTTAATAATCACATATAAGAAAACATAATGTATTCTAATCAGTGAGAAATCTGAATGATGGTTAGAAGTTTATGATCATTGCCAAAAAAAAAAAAAAAAAAAAACACAAAAAACAAAAAACCAACCACCCAAAATAAAGAAATCAAACAAAGCCTTCTCTCCACCAGTTCTTTTCATGTTCAACACCTGCACTAAAGTTCGTTCCCGTGTCCTTATTTCCTCCCAGCTGGAAAAGAAAATCAGGTGTCAGAATTTGGACTGTAAGTGGGAGATATTATCTTCAAAGTTGTATTCTACCATTCATCTTACTTTGTATTGAATAGGCATGTTTTCTAAATATCACACCTGGCAATTTCCCACAGTTTTTTCTACTTAACAGTTACCTATTCATAGATTTTGCCTTAGGTGTAAAAGGTGCAAATTTCTACCACAGTCCAATTACTTAGGGATTTTTTTTTTTTCAATCTGCCTTGAAATCCTGTCTAATAAGTGGCTTCGGCCTCTCCATAGCCATCGCTTTCAAGTGATACCAATAGAACTATCCTGCAGGAATTATGTAAACCTTATATAATTAATATTTGTGAGATGTATTAAGATCCTGGCATAGCAGAGAACATTGAAATCTGAGGCTATTCTATATCTTTCTTTTTTAATCAGCTTCCAGCTGGATTCTAGAAGACTCCCAGTTCCAATTCCTATGTGAGAATATTACTACCACTTAAAACACAGGTTTTTTTGTTTTTTAAAAGGAAGGGTCACAAGAAGGTAAGGTAATGCAGCCTTAGGGAGGCTATAGAAATACCATCAAATGTTCAGAAAGACACAATAATTCACAGTTAATGGATATGCAATCAGATTCAGAATATTTCATTGGAGAGCTGCCTCTGAATCCCTATGCTTGTAGTTGCTACTGGAGAGAGAGCTACTGTGAAATCTCTATATCTCCCTGGGAACAGACTGCTTTTAATGAAATGATGCAGGTAACTGAAGTCTAGTCAGGCAGGGTTCAGAATAAAGCTAACCCTATATAACTTTTTGCATAAATGAACCACAGATCAAAGGTCAAAGAAAGGTAGGATTCACAGACAAAGAAAGGTTTCCCAGTAGATGTGCATTTAAGATAAATAAGGAAGAATTGTTTAGCTTAAGTGTGCGCCCTGAATTTTTATGGGAAATATTTAGAATTCTTGTTTTTTTAAAAAATTCAAATTAGATAGGGTGACCTGTATTTTTATTTGCTAATTCTGGCTACAACAGAATAGACAAAGGACAGTTGACATTATACCACTGTTTAACAATAAAAAGCACAGATCAAAAGATACAGTTGTCTTTTTTGTTTGAACGATTTTTATTACTCATAAAATGGCAAAGGTCTCAGGGTTTATAAATGACCATTATAACAGGTCAAAGAAATGGTCTAAGCTGATGTAAAGGATTATGACAAACATTTAAAGATCCATATATAAAAAAATCTGATGTTTCACCAATCCTCACCATTTAAGTAATTTAAACTGTGACTAAAATGTAATGTCATAGGCTCCTTATGCAAATCAGTCTTATTTTATAGTCACCCTGCTTGGAAGATGACCTAGTAGCCATGAGTTTCCAAGTAAAAAGAATTCATTTCATAAGGCTCTCACACTACTTGCCTATCTATTTCAAAAGTGCCACCATCTTCTAAATGAAACATTAATTTTTCCAAGCACCTGTTTCATTCAATATCTTATTAGCAAATATTTGATTTCTAAACAAACAGGTGCAATTTCACTGACAGGTACTTTCAAAAGGGAGCAAATTGTTGTAAATGTTATGGCAGGGCAGAATTCCTTTCATTTGGGTGTTCAGACAGCTAATCCCTTTTGGAAATATTGTTTAAATGTCCTCTCCATTGTTCCCTGTGGGTGGCATAACCTTCTCCCAGGGGAGATTATTGCTTAAGAAAGTGCTCCATCTTGACAATAATTTTTTCATAAAAACACAAGCACAATAAGATCAGTTCCAAATGCTCAAGTTAAATTAGAGATGTGGCAATTATTTTTTTTAAGATTTTTTTTATTTATGCATACAAGAGCTGGGGTACAGGCCAGAGATGCGCGGGGTGAGAGGATTCACCAGAGACAGAGCAGGAAACAGAACAGGCAGACTGACTGAAATACACTGCTGAGGGGAGCAGCGGGCAAGACAGGAGAGGTTTGCTGCACCATAAGTGTTGCTCCCTTGCTGGCTGGGATCGAACTTGTGCTGCAGAGGCTGTGGATTGCTTCATAGCGCGGTGCTTACCCCCTTGTGCCACCAGGGAGGCCTGAGATGTGGCAATTATTGATGATTCTGTGTTCTGTAAAGATCCACTGTGGATCATTCAGACACCATAAATTGTAAGTTGTCTGCTAGGAATTATCCAAATTTGGGGTTCTGGGAAGCTGACCTTAAGCTTTAGCTGAGTTAGGTTTTTGAAACACACCAGTTTGCAAATTGGGGGAAGAAAGAAAGTCCTTGGTGAGACTTTTCTTCTATTTGTTACTGAGTCTCTTTGGACAGTTGTACTTAATCTGAGTTGGCACATTATTAACCTTTTCAAATTAGGCGTTTAGTAGGCTCAGCTGAATATTTTCATAATTTGCATATTAGGGTTTGCCAGAACAGCTGGCACAGTGCTGGAATATTAGTTGAGAACTTTGATTTACTTAGTCCAAGTCCAAACATATAAAATGTTTTTGGAGAGGACAACCTAGCTAGTATCCACTACCATAAACTTTATAGACAAGAATAATATAGTAATAACAATAGCTTATACTGTCTGAATGCTTACCATGTCCCAGGCACTGTAAGTAGCTGAAATCATTTAACAATTTTAACAGCCTGATGTTTTATTACCCCAGTTTTGTAGCTAAAACTCAAAGTGGTCAAGTTACTTGCCTTAAATGACACAATCAGTAACTGGTGAAACTCAGCTTGGTCCCTAGGTGATCTAGCAGCAGAATCTCGAGCTTTCCACTTGACTCACTGTCTCAGTGTCTCAGGTAACAAAGAAGAGGTTCCTCCTCAGCTCAGCTTTCACGTGAAGGAGATGTCACTACTTTGACTGTGACACAAACTTCAGGTGAGCAGGAGGTAACCACGCAAAAGGAATGTAAGCAACTCTGCACCCCACCCACCTCGATAAACTACAGGCAAGCTGACTGCTCCTGTGAATGTGTGTACATTTTCTGGTATATTTTTAGCATGTTTATGATATGACTTATGATAAGGTATTACTAAGCTTATGATAAAGTCCTGACACATATAAGGACCTAAACTAAGGGTAGGGTATAAAAGTGTAGGGTTGTGTCTTCCTTAAGAATAAAGACCTTCTCGATTGATGTCAGTCACCTGAGATGAACTATGTGACAGGTGCACCACCAGACCCTGGGGGCAGTCAGGAATCTGGCTCTCCTGGTCTGCATCTCCAAGGGGCCAGTAAGTCTTCTGGGTAATGGGGTAGAATGTAGTACTCGCTCTGGGAGAAGGGGAGAGCAGACAGGGCAAGAGATTAGCAGCATAGGTTTTGTGCTTCTCTTACCTAAGCTTATTTCCCCTTTTCCTCCTTGAGCATTAGGAAAAGGTCTTTTGAAATGTCTGGTATATCTCAGATA